ACGAGGAATTGCAGACGCAGCGGGTCATGGCCAACGTGCGGGAGCGCCAGCGCACGCAGTCGCTCAACGAGGCATTCGCCGCCCTGCGGAAGATCATCCCCACGCTGCCCTCGGACAAGCTGAGCAAGATCCAGACCCTCAAGTTGGCAGCCAGGTACATCGACTTCCTCTACCAGGTTCTCCAGAGCGACGAGCTGGACTCCAAGATGGCAAGTTGCAGCTATGTGGCCCATGAGCGGCTCAGCTACGCCTTCTCGGTCTGGAGGATGGAGGGGGCCTGGTCCATGTCCGCGTCCCACTAGCAGGTGGAGCCCCCACCCCCTGAGCAGGACCGGAGACCTAGGTAAGGACCAGCGCCACTGTGCCCCAGGGCCGCACCGGAGGCCGGCAGACAGATGCATGTCCAGGCCAGAGTCCCCGGGTCCGCTTCTCTTACCTCCCTCTGCCACTGCCCGCTCAGAAATCCCCGCCTAACCTGGTACCGCTACCGCCTCCCTTATCCCTGGCTCCCCCAGAGAACGGAGAGGGCAACTGCGTACCCTCTAAGGAGAGAAGTTCCCTAGGGGATGCGCCCTGGTAAGGGGCGTGCTGCTCCAGGAGTGTGCGTGAAAGACAGGCGGAAAGTCAGAAGTTCAAGGATCAAGGTGGAGGACCCTGTAGCCAGGGCCTCCGTTTCTATGGACTTTAAAATTTCCACCTCCTCATCTTTCCGCCCACCCACTTCCTCTTGCCTTGGGCTGAAATCTTTCCAGGTTGTGTGTTTCTTGGTGGTGGTGATAAGAACAGTGCTAAAGTAGTCTTAGACAAGAGCCAGAGATCTAAACAATAACCAACTTTCCCTCCCTCCCCCTCCCCCTTTTCTGGGTTTTTGCAGATGTCATTGTTTCCAGAGAAGGAGAAAATGGACAGTCTAGAGACTCTGGAGCTGGATAACTAAACATATATATACATGCCAAAGATTTTTCTTGGAAATTAGAAGAGCAGAACCTAAATTCAAAGAAACAGGGCGTGGGGCGCACTTTTAAAAGAGAAAGTGAGACAGGCCCGCGGACAGTGATTCCCAGACGGGCAGCGGCACCATCCTCACACCTCCACATTCTGATAGAAGTCTGAAGTGTTTTTGTTTTGTTCTGTTGTGTTATTTGACGAAGAATGTTTTATTTTTATTTTTTCATGCATGCATGCATTCGCAAGAGGTTGTGCCAAGCAGCCACTGAAAGGAAAGGCATCATTATGGACTGTCTCCATTTTAAAATGGTACCAATCAGAGGAACATTTAAGGACATCTCTAGAAATAAAATTCCGGGATCAAACTGGCCTGGAAAATCATGGTCAGTCAATTCCTTTTTCATGCTTCCTCTGAGGGAAAAAAAAAACCCTTAAAATAAAAAAAAATCAACATTCTATTTATTTATTGATGACCCATGGTAAAATGCAAATAGATCCGGTGTCTAAATGCATTCATATTTTTAAGATTGTTTTGTAAATATCTTTGTATATTATTTTTCTGCAATAAATAAATATGATTGAAAAGTTTAAGAGCCTTAGAGTTTGGTCTATATTTTAAAAATCTAGGGTTAAACTGGAGGTGAATACCTCTTGTTTAATTCTAGAGGCTCCAAAGAGGGAGGGGACACTAATCTAAACAAAGCAGTGGAAAACTCAAATAAACTAGCTACTGACAGACACAGGCATGTTATTTTAAAAGACAGCTTTATTATTATTCCAGCTTGGTATTCAGTCAGGGGGACTGGTAGCATCGCTTCTTCACCTGTTATCAGGTCCTCAAACAATAAAAATGTAACACATTTGTGATTTACCTCTACTTACATTTTGGGGTGGTACTTGTAAAATAATGAGTATGAACCCAGTATGATTTTCTCTTGTTTCTGTATGTCATCCCCCTCTCCTCACTCTGGGTGTAAGGACTTTTATATAAATTCATTCAATTGAGAGAGTAACTCAAGGAAAACTTTTACCCCCTCCTCTATACACACATACCAATGACTCCAAATGCCAGGGAAACAATGCCCTCAACATAGCTGGGGAAAATTCAATTTCTAAAGTAATTAAACCATTTTTGTGTGTGTGAATGAAAATGACATTTAGCATCAGGTATGTTGAACAGAAATGAACACTAAAGACATTTTCCTTATTGATGCTATCTCTTTGAGAAATGTGTTCTTCATATATAAAGATCTTATGGCACTAGAGTAAACCACAGTAAACAAAGAAACCGAACTTTCAGTATTCCTGGTCAGTGTTGGGACAGTTGAAAATTTAAGTGCTACAAAGTTTCCGTTTGTAGTCAGTTCACTGGTAAATATTTTTATTCCACGTTACACAGAATTATCCTCTGGTTAGCTATATGTACTTAGAATCTGATGAAGGCAAGTAAAAACAATAACAGCAACAATTGTTGCTTAATTTTTATTTTATTCTGGGTCAGAAAATTTTATTTATTTCTGGGCCAGAAAAACATTGCCGTTTGTAATTGATATAATTAGAAATTGTGATGCATCAATTAGCTGTTAGCATTTTCATTTAGTGTTCTAAATTCAAATGCAATCAGAGAAGCTTTCCAACTGGAAAATTATTTTGTTGCCCAGTTGAAACAATGATTATGACAAATAAGTACATGTATCCAAACAGAATGTGTTTGCCCAACTCAGAGATGATTTTATTGCCTAGAGGTTTTTACTTCCCTCCTCACAGCAAGGCAGAATGCTGACATGACAATATTGTAGATTTATATTGTGCATATTTTAGACCATATTTTACGAAAGGAGCCTGCAGTACTTACTTATATTAAAAGATTAGTGAGAGCTTGGGGGATTGGTGTTTTGAATTTTGATAGTCCTTTACCAAATAATGAGTAGGGAAAGCAGTCATGTGTAGAGTATCTGTGTCGTGTGCGCGCGTGCGCACACACGCTGTGCGTGGGCAGATGGAGTGTAATATATAGAGTGTGCGTGCATGATCCAGTGGAAGAGGGGTACACCAGAAGGAAGGGAGAGCCTAGAAATGGCAATTCTCTCCCCTGTGTGTGTGTCTTCCAAACGCTTTTATTTTCTAGATTGCTAATGGAAGAATCACTTTTTTCACCACAGTTTGGTCTGACTATTTGATATTTCAGATTTCTTGATGAACAGCAAGGTGGAGCTGACCCTCATTGCTGAAAAGGTAATTGCTATCAATCCTGGTGATGTACATATTACAGGTTTTGAAAGAAAAGTTGTGGGGGTGGGGGTGGCGGGGAGGCTGGAGAGGTGTATATTCTCCTTTTAAAAAAAAAATAAAAGGAAACATGGAGAAATGCAGATGACCTATTTGTGTTGAGTAGTACTCAAGTGAAGGTAGTATTTTCTCTAAAATGTTCAGTTGATGGAAAGAAAGGTGGTGAATAGTTCTCTTTTGAATGATGAGAATTCCTGTTTTAAAATATTAGCGATTAGGATAGAACTTCTTGCAGTTTGCAGAGTACAATTTTTATACTCCCACAGCCTCCCCAAACACATGAAATAAAATGTGAATGCTTCTTGGAATAGAAATTAAGCCACCTGTGTTTCTTGCCCTCCGCCATCTATATTTCCTGTTTTCATTTTAGTTTATTTTCATTACCTAAAGGACACACCGAGGGAAGTACCACTGTTTCAGAAATGAGAAAGTAAATGTTTCCACTCAATGTGGTGCCTGGGTCGCCGGTCTTTGTCCGCCAGCCCCAGTACATTCACTGGGGGAAAGTGTTGTATTAAAATGTCTGTGTTGGATTCTAGTAAATTTCAGTCAGATTGTTTCCTTTATTCTGAGTATATTTTTATCATTTTTAAAAATTGTTATTTTGTTCAATCGGTAGCCTTCAGTCATAGCACTGCAGTACGCTTTCTGTTCTCATTTGTACATATTTCCCTTTTCTGTGCACAAATCGGCTAATAAGCACATGCACAGATAATGCATGCACAGTTGCAGGTACTCCGCCAGCCCCGCCCTCTGTCCCCACCCCCACCCCAAGCGGAACCCATTATTCATAAAATAAGGTTAAGTAGCAGAAACTCACACAGTGTGTATACTTTCCCCCCACATTCAACAGCGGCATAAGCAGCTTGTCCCTTCCGTCTTCAGGCCATATTCATAATGGGGCTTTTTAAGGGACACTTGGCCTCTTGCAAAAAAGTAGAGCATTTTGCACATTCCATGGTTTGGCAAACTCAGAACTGGTTATTTTCTCTAGACCGGTATCAAGTTCTTCTCAGGCATATGATTTCACTTGAAGTCCTGCCCAGGAATCCTTCAAAGTGAGCGTTTGTCCCGCTCTCATGATGTCAGGCGGTTTTCCCTGCATCTGTAATTTGAAGAAAAACAAACAAACCTGCGGGGAACAAAAGCCACGGAAACCCAAACAGACCCCCGTGGGGAGTAGGGGTCTCACCTGCGGCGGGCTCGGGACAGGGGGCGCAGGCCTGGGCTCCCCTGCGTGGGTGGCGGGGCCCTGCCCGCACAGTGGGGGGACAGCCGCGTCCCTGCCCTCCTCCCTGGCGTGCACAGCCCGGCCTGTGTCTGGCCGCTGCTGGGAGGCGGTGGCGCCAAGTGTCAGCAGTAGCGGGGGCAGCAGCAGCAAACCGATTCAGGCCAAGGCCGAATGCTGGGCTTCCAGGGGAGCTGGGCCTTAACAACTAATGGGGGTCTGCAGGGGGAATCCCCAGAGACTGCTTTTCTAGAATGTTCTGACTACTCCTACTACTCTACTACTTCCAGCACCAGAGAAAGTAGAAGGGAAGTGCACTGGCCAAGTGGTAGAAGAAGTCCACTTCCTCTTTATTTCGCAAAGCAGGCAACACTCCTAAGCACACCGGGCCCTCGAGAATGCAAAGCAGAAGGCTTCTTTCGTTTGTCCTCCTTTACTGGACAGCAAAGAAGAGAAAGCAAAGACTAAATGGGGCAGGAGTTACGTTTTCCATTCTCCTTGGTCTCCAGACTCCAGGACAGGAGTCCACTTAATGTTCTTAGCAAATCAAAGCACGTGCTCTTTGAAGAAGGTGTGTAATTGGAGTTTAAGGCATGTACGGAATTCCCAGATGTCTATAAAGTACGAAGGAGCATGTGGCAGGTCAGTGGAAGGTGGATCGGGTTAAAATCACTGGCTCAGAAAGTCCCCTCTTTATAATTTCCTCCTAAGGGCTGGGGAGATAAGGCGCAGTGAAAATTTGGGAGGGCATTTTAAGAAATATCCAGCTTCTCACGAATCGGAGTCATCGTAACCATGGTAAAAAAGCACATGGTCAGAAAACCTCAAAGAAAACATTCAATTATATCCGGGATTTCATGGGCGCCCTGCAATGAGATCCTTTGGGGTTCATTGCAGCAAGGGTTTCTGAGGGAGGCCGGCCGCCTTCCTTTCTTGTTAACGTGGACTGTTTTCTTTTCCGGCTCCTTCTCCACCCCTACCCTCTGAAACTTTGTGGATGGGCCCTAGTTTTCCTTGCGATATAGGCTGAAAACCAGAGGAGACAAAATCCGGTTTAGGAAAACCCAACTGAACCACCTAAGGACATTCCTTCCCAATGTTTTGGGGGGCAGGAAGGGGCTGCCAACTGGGAGCAGGGGTGTTAAATTCCTGTGAAATGTGCAGTTCAAATACCTGACCGAAGTTCAGTGAAAAGACTCATCAAAGTTAGTTGTTTCCTTTCCGCAACTCTCTGAGGGTGGCATAAAGGAGTCCATGGCTGCTGTGGAATCTACGAGAGAGCTGCACGTTGCTTATCAGCCCGTTGTTGTTTGGTTTACTCCTCTGAAACGGAATTCAAATGCTCCCAGTAGGATTTTCCTCCTTGAGTCCAGGATGCTGCCCTCATTTACCTGGACAGTCAAGGCAGAAGTAGCAAATCCGGGGTCTGCCAAAATAAATGGCCCTGGCCAAGGACTTTAAGGGGGACATAGTTTGGGGGGACACTAGGGAAAGGAGACAGAGGGAGGTGGGTTGGGGCAAAGAGCCCTGTGCACAGATGCGGCCACTGAGGCAGAGGTCAGGGACACACCAGGGTGGACTCAAGTGTGACAACAAGTGAAAAGTTAAGCAGGTACTTGAAGGAAGTTTATCTTGCCCAGATGTTATGGCTTTTATGACACGTCACGTGAAGAAAACAGATGTATAACTTGCAAATGGAGCCATGCCTGTAAATGCAAGGAAGGCAAAAAAGCTTGTAGGGAAATCATTAACTTTTTCTTTTTTACCTATCTGTTTTGTCTTTTAAGGTCTGTTTCCTCGACAAAATAATAGTAATTTATGAATGAAGAAGGGTTCATGAAGGAGGGGGTAGTGGGGAGGGAGGGCGAAAATGAGGAGCTGATATTAAGGGCTCAACTAGAAAGTAAATGTTTGAGAATGATGATGGCAGCAAATGTACAAATGTGCTTGACACAATGGATGTATGTATGGATTGT